TAGTACAGAATAAGTGCTCAAAATTTAAATATATGAAATAATGTGAATATTTTAAAAATGGGAGGTTTCACATAAAAACTTGCATTTGCTTGCATTGAATATTGAACAAGTGGAAGATTTGGCAACAGTGGGCTTATCTATTTTTGTGTATGGAAGTGAAGAATACACCTTTGTTTAATATGCACTAGCTCAGCTTCACTCAATTACATTGTCCATCTGGTCCTGTTCTTTGCAGCCTCTGAGTTAATCACTGAAATCTCTGCCAACTCCAAGTGTCTAACAAAACTGAATTTTATAGTTGAAATTTGGGAGCAGAGTTCCAAAATGGAGAGGTTTTCTGTCAATTAACAGGTTGCATTGTTTGAATATCAAGAAAATTGCCTACACAACATTTACATTACATTTCGTTACTTAATCAAATCATTCAAGATACATTTTTATTACTGTTACTTAATCAAATCACTCAATATATTTTTATTACTTTCATAATGTTAAACTAGATGAACTATTCGACAGCAAAGGAAGCGAATATCTTTGTTTAAATGAGAATTTAAAAATATATAATAAGCATTATATATAGTATATTATATGCTACATATATTATTTATACATGTAATACTATATAGTATAATATCTATAACATACGAATCTTTCTGGAAACACTGATCTATTTTGATAAGAGAAACAAACACAAAATGATTATTCCACTATTTTTAAAATTATAAAACATACATTTCATTAGAATACAGTTTATAGTAATAACTTTTGAATTCCAGGATCACACAAACTGAGGCAAAATTTAGAACAAATGATCACCATAGCTAATGGTGGGATGTTTGGTTAATGCCTTTGAAACTAAAAATATCTTGAAAGCATCCTTTCTAGTTATCCACTTGTATGTAAGCCAAGAAAGAAACACATTTCTAGGTGTCACTGGAGTGCCACAGGGGTGCATGGAATTAAGGAAATCATTTTGGTGTTTTCTGGTTGAATCTTATTTTCATTAGTGTCATTACCCTCTGTTAAAAACATTTTATTATGTTATCTAGAGGAACTACAAATGTGTTAGACAAGGTTTGCTGATTTCAGATATCAAGTTTGTCTCTTCTTATAAGTGCATCCATGGACAAAGTAATGTTACATTTTAAATTCCATTAATCAAATTCAAAATAAGGGGATGGTTTGCATTTTCTTCACTGTAGAATGTCAGTCCATATCATCCTAGGGAAAGTTTGCCAATAAAATTGGTTAGACATCCAACTTTTACTACCATGTAGTCTCATCATTCTTTCCTTCATGTGAGTTTATCTACAATTTTATCTTGCTGTTCTTTTCCAAGGCTTTTTTTTTTTTTTTTTTTTATCTTTATGTTACTTTTTTTTTGAGATGGAGACCAGCATTGTGATGAGTGTTGGTAATGCTGAAATGTCAAAAGGCAGGTGCTGTTCCTTTAACACAAGAAACAGACATTCTCCACCAGGTACTAGCTTTCCAATATGTACAATACATAGGCAGCTGGGCGTGGTGCCTCATGCCTGTGAGGTCAGGAGTTGGAGACCAGCCTGGCCAACATGGTGAAACCTTGTCTCCACTAAAAATGCCAAAAATTTAGCTGGCCGTGGTGGTGTGTGCTTGTAATCTCAGCTACTGAGGAGGCTGAGGCAGGAGAATCACTTGAACCTGGGAGGCAGAGGTTGCAGTGAGTTGAGATTGTGCCACTGAACTGCAGCCTGGGTGACAGAGTGAGATTCTGTCCCCCCTAGCAAAAAAAAAAGCAAAACAACCCTCCCCCCCCAAAAAAAATAGGCAGCAGAATAATCAAAGCCTCTTGGATGAACTTCCGGTTTTTTCCTTATTGATTTTCTTTCACTGTAAGATAGATTGCCATGATAAACTGCTTCAATGAATAACTTCTGTACGTAGGAAAAGTAGAAAGCCCAAGCAATAAACCCAATTTGATTGAGAAGAAATACGAAGATGTCAGCGGTAAAAACAATGCTCCTTTCAACAATAATAAATGTATCAGCTGGGCGCAGTGGCTCACCCCTGTATTCCCAGCACTTTGGGAGGCTGAGGCGGGTGGATCACGAGGTCAGGAGATCGAGACTATGCTGGCTAATACGATGAAACCCCATCTCTACTACAAATACAAAAAATTAGCCAGGCTTGGTGGCAAGTGTCTGTAGTCCCACCTACTTGGGAGGCTGAGGTAAGAGAATGGCATGAACCCGGGAGGCAGAGGTTGCAGTGGGCCGAGATTGCACCACTGCACTCCAGCCTGGGCGACAGAGCAAGACTCCGTCTCAAAAATAAATAAATAAATAAATAAATAAATAAATAAATAAATAAAAATAAATAAAATACATGTATCTTTCCCGAGTACCTTGGAATAGATTTTTTACATTGACTTGCTGTGCTAAGCAACGTGAAATGTTCTGATCCCTGGGAAATCATTTTCTGGCAAGTAGGAAATAAATGTGCCCAATTATGAATTTTTGCCAGTAGCTGAGATAACAAAGAGTCACCAACTGCTAGTTATCAGAGCCAAGAGTTAAACTTGCATTTAAGATGCTAGGATATTGGCTTTGCATTCCGATTTACAGAAATAAAACTTAATGGACTGAAAAAAATCGGATACGTAATATAAAAAGAGGCTTACACTTAATGTTCATGTAAAAATTAAAACTTCTGTATAATTTGAGGTTTAAAATAAAATATTTCATGTAAACAATTAACTTTTAATAAAGTTTCTCTTTTAACTTCCAAAATACATGTTCAAGATGTATTAAGTAAAACTCAAACGTGTACATACACACACCCCTTATATATATCCCAAACGTGTACATACACACACCCCTTATGTATATAAGTGTGTGTGTGTATATATATATTTATTTATTTATTTATTTTGAGATAGAGTCTTGCTCTGTCACCCAGGCTGGAGTGCAGTGGCACTATCCCTGCTCACTGCAACTTCTGCCTCCCGGGTTCAAGTAATTCTCCTGCCTTAGCCTCCTGAGTACCTGGGACTACAGGCATGTGCCACCACACCCGGCTAATATTTGTATTTTTAGTAGAGGTGGGGTTTCATCATGTTGGCCAGGCTGCTCTCAAACTCCTGACCTCAAGTGATCCACTTGGCCTCCCAAAGTGCTGGGGTTACAGGCGTGAGCCACTGCACCTTGCCTATATATTGATATAAATGGTGACACATGTATAAAGTATTCTTCTGAGAAGTTGCAAAGAAGCAAGAGTAGTGTTTCTGTAGGGCTCAGACAACCTGTCATACCTAAAACAAAAGGTTCCCACATGGAAGAATTTCCTTTTTTTCCTACTTTTTTTTTTTTTTTAGACAGTCTTACTCTGTTGCCCAGAGTGGAGTGCAGTGGCGCTATCTTGGCTCACTGCAACCTCTGCTTCTCCAATTCAAGAGATTCTCGTGCCTCAGCCTCCCCAGTAGCTGGGATTACAGGCATGCACCACCACGCCCGACTGATTTTTTGTATTTTTAGTAGAGACAGTGTTTTACTATGTTGGCCAGGCTGGTCTCAGACTCCTCTGGTGATCTGCCTGCCTTGCCTCCCAAAGTGTTAGGATTACAGGTGTGAGCCACCACACCCTGCCGGATTTTGTTGTTGTTGTTTTCATGCAACAAATCTGACAGGAGAATAGGAGTCCAACTCCTGGAGTTGCATTGGTTACCTCTGAACTCCCTAGAATTCTAAATTTATCATTCCATGTATTAATTATTCCAGTGATTCCTCCCATAAATAAGCTGTTCCTTGGGCGAAATGAGAAACAGTTTGGGAAGCTGTGTTTTTTGTTTCAGGCAACTAGTAGTATATTAAAGAACCCCATTCTTGACGGCTGCCCACGAGCATGTGCCCATTAGCTAAGCAGATAACCTAAAGACAATGAGGCCAGGCATGGTGGTTCACACCTGTAATTCCAGCACTTTGGGAGGCAGAGGTAGGTGGGTTGCTTGAGCTCAGGAGTTCAATACCAGTCTGGGAAACATGGCAAAACCCCATTTCTACAAAACTACAAAAATAGAGGGCATGGTGGCACACACCTGTAGTCCTAGCTACTTGGGAGGCTGAGGTGGGAGGGTGGCTTGAACCTGGGAGGTCGAGGCTGTAGTGAGCTGTGATCATGCCACTGCACTCCAGTCTGGGTGACAGAGCAAGACCCTGTCTCAAAAAAAAAGATAACAGTCACTTCCAAACTCCACTGCTGAACCATACTGTTGAACCATAAGGTCACCAGGAGCAGGATAGTTGATTCATATTATGACACTTTCCAATGAAACACTTTTCACTAAGTTAAAAATGTTGCCTCTACATTTTAGGAAGCACTCCTCATAGCTGTAAGACTGTCTTGACCTGTTTCTATCTCCATACACATTAATTTTCTTGGGGTCATGACTTCCTAACTTCTTCAACATTAATTCCAGTTCTCTATCAGAGAACTTAAAACACTGGAAAAAAAAGCAGAGTAAAAGAAAGGATAGAGGCTAATCTGAGAAGACTTAATTATCTTATTTAGTTGTAAGCAAGTTGGTGGGGGGGCAATGTCATTTGTATGTGTGAGGATTTCTAACATGTTTTGCGTGTGTGCGTGTGTGCGTGTGTATGAGATGGAGTCTAGCTCTGCCACCCAGGCTGGTGTGCAGTGGCACAATCTCTGCTTACTGCAACTTCTACCTCCCAGGTTCAAGTGATTCTCCTGCCTCAGCCTCCCTCTCAGTAGCTGGGATTACAGGCATGTGCCACCACGCCTGGCTAATTTTTATATTTTTAGCAGAGACAGGGTTTCACCATGTTGGCCAAGCTGGTCATGAACTCCTGACCTCAAATGATCTGTCTGCCTCGGCCTCCCATTACAGGCATGAGCCACTGCGCCATGCCCCAACATGTTCTTAAAGAGTAGAAAAACATGTAATGTTTAGTTCACTTCAGAGCCTTCCATGTAATACATTTCAGTGAGTGACAGACACGATATTTTTGTTCCATTAGAAGTATTTTATTTTAAAGTACACTTGAAATTTTAAATGTTTACAAATTCAGAGGTTTAAAAAACTTCGAAAGTCACAGACACAGAGTTTAGGAAGCTGAAGGCTGAGAGTCTCCCTTCTCACTTAATCCATGCTTTATTTTGCATTCCTCACAGGTAAGCAGGCAGTGCCTAGAAGAGAAGCAAAAATAGACAGTGGTTTGTACTTTGACACTGGAAGCTCTAGTCTTTACATAATATTATTATTCTTATTATTTTAACATAATTTTTAAAATAGAGATGGGGGAATAGTCTATCTATGTTGCCCAGGTTGGTCTCGAGGGCTCAAGGGATCCTCTCACCCACCCCTCTTGAGTAGCTGAGACTACAGGCATGAACCACTGCACCTGCCTTTAAAACAATATTAGATATATAGTCTATGCTAAAGTTCACTAGCCTTGTTTTTTTCAGAAATAATAGGAGTTGTTGCTTGGTTTATGGCCCCCAATATTTCACCCCTCAAAAAGCCAATAATGAGCTTTATGTTGAAACACATGGTTGTATTTGTGGTCAGGGTCAGGCAGGGTTTGAACATCTTGATTCTTTTTGAATTCAAGTAATTTCTAACAATAGCATAAAAATTATAAACACACAGTGCATTGATCCAGGATTAAACTATATGCCTATGGAGTTAGGTTTGGACACACATGTGCACATATATATATATACACATAATTTTTTAAATTAAAAAAATGATACTTCCAGAATTTCTGGTTTATAGTTTGCCGAACTTGTCCCAGTTTCCTTAGGATACCAAGGAAAATGCACAGCTTCATTCTAGAATAATATTCACATTTGAATATGGAATAGATGTCGAGTCCCTTCTTGCATTAAAGTTTTATAATCTTACAAATTCAACAAACATTTACTACTATGAGGAGTTGGCAACAGGATAACTTTATGCAGGACAGTGATAGGATGTGTTTTGAATGATAGAAAACTCATTCAATCTGGCCTGGGTGGGAAGGATTACTTCGAAGGTAGCAAGGCCGGAAACTGCTACTGTAAAACCCTGAAGAGATGGATGAGGAACCCCTTTCTCTCACTTATTTCCCCCCATTGCTTTGAGAATGAAGTGAAAATCCTTAGCATGGCATAAATTCCTTCAGGAGCTGACTTCTACCTGCCTGGACTTCCAGCTTGTTCTCTGCCTTTCCCAATAGCTCTTTATGCTCCAGCCGTAGGATGTATTTATGGTTCCCTTTAAAAATGAAAATTTCTCTTCTCTACATACTATTCCTGGCCTGGAATCCCCTTCTTCAACCCTGCTATAGCTCCTACTATAGCCATAGCTCCTGCTATAGCTCCTACTATAGCCATAGCTCCTGCTATATCTCCTCTTGTCATAGCTTCTGCTGTAGCTACTACTACTTGAATCTATTAAGATTCAAGTCAAGCATCATCACCTACTCCAAGAAGTCCTTAATGCCTATTCCTTAACCCTCCCCTCCACCTCAACTTAGTTAAGTGCCCCACTCTACTTTCCCTTAATTAAGAAATCAAATAGCTTTGTGAATTATTGCCTCTCAGATTTGCTGGTAATGGCCCTTCACATAGGGCATAGCAATTGGTTATCAGCTATGAATGCAAGCCCAGAGTGGGGCTTTTGTGGCTGGCAGTGGGAAGGCAAAATGAAACCACAGAACGCAGAGCTTAAAGGAGCCCTGGAAACTAGTTACTTCAGTCACCTCCTTTCACAATGGACATTGTCTGAAAAATGTAGATTTCAGTCTTGTGTTCATAATTATTCTGAAATCCAAAGTTGGTTAATTGCAAAAGACACTCCTGAAATTGAAGAGGAAGAGGAAGCAGTCAACAACATTCTCTCCTTTACTTGTGATACTTTTTCTTTCTTTTCCTACACAGACCAGAATCATGTGGTCAATTCCTCCTCAGCAAGCTGACTCTAAAACACAACTTAGCAAGGATGGACCGAAGTTGGTGTTGTCTGTAAAAATGGAATTAATGATTCTCTGGTGGCCTTGCTTCTGCAATGGGAAGAGTAAGGGTTTGGAAAACAGATGATCTGAGGTGAAAGACCCTTTTCCACCCACTGCTAATGATGTCACCTTCAGAAGGTCTCTACAGCTCTTTGGGTCTCATGCAGCTCATCAGAAAGAGACAGTATTGAAGGGCCCATCTATTACTACAGGACTAGGGAACATGGCTTTCCAAAGTCACATAGTTAGAAAAAGAACTTGAGTGTTTTGACTTCTAGTCCAGTTTGTTTTCATCATATTGTGCTGCTTCTCAGATAGAAATCACTGTGACCAGTGAGGGGTCTTTAGAGAAATGTGTTCCCAACACTAATCTGGTAACTACTATAGTAAAAATAGCTAATGTTTACTGAGCACTTACTGAGTGTCACGAATAATCATTTCTATTCTTTACATCTCATAAAAACTATCCTGATCACTATTTTATACAGATAAGGAAATTGAAGATCAGAGAGCTTAAGAAACTTGCAGGGTCACACAACTTAGTTAAGCGGTAGAACTGGTTTTCAACCCAAGTACTATAACAGCAGAGGTGATGCCATTAACTCCAAAGTCATATTGCCTATTTCCCCTATAGAGAATCATCATATATACAGTATTAACATAGAAAAAGCTCTGAGAAGCCCTGCAGTAAGGAAACCTGTTAAAGTTTTGTGTAACTCTGGGATGGTGGAAGCCATAACTGCTCATTGAGGAATTCTTTAGAAACTTGCACAATGTTTGAACACAGTAGGTTCCCATTAAATATTTATCAAACAAATGAAATTGGTAAGTGTAGTAACAAAGTCAATGCTAAACTTGAGGATTAAAACTTTTTTAACATGTGAATTTTAAAAAGTGTGTTTAATATAATAAATAATGAATAATCTTTCATTTAATTTCTTATAATTACATTACAATCCCTCAACCAAACAGATTACAAACCTGTTATGCTGTGGACCAAAACCAGCCCCACGAAGCTGATCTTCAAAAAAATAGAATTTACTCTGTCATACTCCTATGTATGATACCTTTCCAAGGCCAAATCCCAAGAGACCAGCAACTGTAAAAGCAGGTTGGGAGAGGTCATTTAAAGGTTGAGAATCTTCTCCATTAGTTATCTTCCAGAGCTTTAAAAATTAACGCTGGTAATTTTAAAATTAAAAGGACCATGCTAAATCAATGAATGAAGACTTTGAGAAGGAAGTCTCTATTAGAAAAGAACAGGATTGGGAACTGGAGACTTCCCCATCTCAACTTTGAACTGGTGGTGGAAGGGGCAGGACAGAGCAAGCCACAGTGCTGTCCTGGAGACAGATGGCCAGAGAGGGCCCACCTGTCAAGCAAATGGTTGAGGCCACTGGGGCAGGGGAAGGTGGCTGGGTTGTGGCTATAGGCAGCTTCCAAATCACTGGGTAGAAATGCCCCTAATCTTCCTTATGGCCTTGGAGTAGTGGAGAGTTTCAGTCTCTCTTGCCTACGAGGGAGAGGGACCCTCCTATGGAAGAGATCTCAAATCTGTTCCTCCTGCTAGGAATGAATGCGGTTTCAGACTATCAACTAAAATGTGTCCTTTTTGTACATAAAACATCTGTTGATACTAGGTGAAGGAAGATGAAACCCCAAGTTTGTGGTTATTCTATTATTAGAAATCCCCTGATTCTTAAAAATTACTGATTTTTTATATCCATTGTAGAAAACATTTTGAAAAGACTAGCCAGGGCAAAAGAGGAAAATAAAAATCCATAAAGGATCTATCATTCAGAGGCTCTGCTACTGATAATCTCATTATATATCCTTCCAGTCCTTCTTAGTCCATGCTTTAAGGATGGTCTAAGAAGAAGTCCCTACTGCTAAGCTGTATATCAGAAAATGTTGAGTGAACTAAGAAATGCAGACTAGCAGAAAATAGAGGTTGATTTTTTTAAAAGTCAATATAGGTAGTTTAGTTAAGCTGGACATTCATATCTCCAGTTGCTAGTGATGTCTTTTTTTTTTTTTTTTTCAAAATTTTATTTATTATTATTTTTTAAAATAGATACAAGGTTTCACCATATTGCCCAGGCTGGTCTGGAACTCCTGGACTCAAGCAATCCACCCGCCTCAGCCTCCCAAATTCCTGGGATTACAGACGTGAGCCACCACACTTGGCTTGCTTTTTTATTTCTGTGACTTACGTGCAACTTTGGGCAATGATCCAAATCTAGGATTAGCTGCCAAATAACCTAAGGAGTAATACAGAAATACATTATTATTTCATTTTATAACTTAAATTATAAGTTATTCTTAAAGTATAAAGAAGCCTCCAAAATTTAAGACATATAATTTCTTAAATGTATACATATTCTGACTTTAGAAAGATGATCTTGGCCGGGCACAGTCACTCACACCTGTAATCCAGCACTTTGGAGGCTGCGGCGGGCAGATCACTTGAGGTCAGGAGTTCGAAACCAGCCTGGCCAACATGGTGAAACCCCGTCTCCACTAAAAAAATACAAAAATTAGCCAGCCATGATGGTGGGTGCCTGTAATCCCAGCTACTTGGGAGGCCGAGGCAGGAGAATCACTTGAACCCAGGAGGCAGAGGTTGCAGTGAGCTGAGATGGCACCAATGCACTCCAGCCTGGGTGACAGAGCGAGACTCCATCTCAAAAAAAAAAAGGAAAAACGAAAAAAAAAAAGGATCTTAAAGGAGTTATGATTCAACTCTCAGTTGAATTTAACTGCCAGATAGTCATTTTAGGCAAATTATAAATATTAGCTGTAATGTGTAGAAAAATAATATGAAACAGACAATTCAAGACTGATTCAAAGACATCAAGCAAAGGTAGGGCTGACAACAGTGTTCAAAGAGATTAGTCATCATCCTCTTTTTTTTTAAAATTATACTTTAAGTTAGGGTACATGTGCACCCTCTTTTCTTTTTAAGTAACTCAACATAGAGAGTTTCCATTTGGAGATTCACAGTGTATATCATTATTTTACAATGCAAACAGTACAACTCATGGTAGTTAGAATAATGGCCTTTTAGAGATACCCACATCTGAATTCCTGGAAAAGGTGAATGTATTAGGTCCCAAAAGGGGGATTAAGGTAGAAAATGGAACTGATGTTGCTAATCAGATGACTTTAAAGGAGAGAGATGATCAAGGTGGGCCCAATGTGATCCTTCAGTGTGGAAGAGGAAACGTGACAGGACAGAGAGATGGCAGCAAGAGAAGAACTTGGCTCAATGTTGCTGACTTTACGGTCATAGGAAGGGGCCACCGGTTAAGAAATATGCGTGGTTCTAGAAGCTGGAAAGGAAAAGGAAGCCCATGAGCCTCCAGAAGGAACACAGCTGCGGTGATGCCTTGATTTTAGCCCAGTGAGACCCATTTCAGAATTTTGATTTCCAAGAACTGTAAGATAATACATTTGTGTTGTTTTAAGTCACTCTGTTTGTGGTAATTTGTTAGAGATGTTATAGAAAACTGATATTAAACTCCGAAAAAATATGTTAGCATAGACGCAAAAAATGGTAGATGTCTTGGTCTGTTTTCTGCTCCTGTAACAGAATACCACAGGCTGGATAATTTATAAAGAACAGAAGTTCACTTGGCTCACACTTCTGGAGGCTGAGAAATCCAAGAGCATAGAGCTGGCATTTATGAGGGTTATCCATGGCAAGGAAGTGTAGGAAACAGAGAGCAAGAGGAGAGGCTGAACACATCCTTTTTATCAGGAACTCACTCCCATGAGAATGGTATTAATCCATTCATGAGGGTGGAGCCCTCATAACCTCTTAAAGGCTGTACCTCTTGATACTGTTACAATGGCGGATAAATTTCACCCTGAATTTTGAAGGGGACATTCACACCACAAGCAGTAGATTTGGAGTAGTTTAATACTTATAAAACATAATCTGGGCCGGGTGTGGTGGCTCTTGCCTGCAATCTCAGCACTTTGGGAGGCTGAGGTGGGCAGATCACTTGAGGTCAGGAGTTTGAGACCATCCTGCCCAACATGGTGAAACCCTGTCTCTACTAAAAATACAAAAATCAGCAGGATGTGGTAGCACAGGCCTGCAATCCCAGCTACTATGGAGGCTGAGGCAGGAGAATTGCTTGAACCCAGCAGGTGGAGGTTGTAGTGAGCCCAGATCACGCCACTGCACTCCAGCCTGAGTGACAGAGTGAGACTCCGTCTCAAAAACCAACAGACAAACAAAAAACCCATAATCCCCATAGATGTCCCAGCCACAATATTTTTATCTGTGTCAAAAATGATCTGAAAAATGCTATCTTCAAATTGTAAAAATACAATCATATTTAATACATGACCTTTATGGACAAGAATGATATTGGTCAAAGTGGGATTCTCCTAGATATGTGACATGTGGTTTTTGAGACTCAGAAAAGAACTAGGACTTCTTCCCTCATATTTACTGGTACAAACGTTCCGTTTAAGATCCTGGTAATCAAGCCTGGGTGTGATGGCTCACGCCTGTAATCCCAGCACTTTGGGAGGCTGAGGTGGGAGGATCACTTGAGCTCAGGAGTTTGAGACCAGCCTGGGCAATATAGTGAGACACTGTCTCTGCAAAAATTAAAAAAAAAAAAAAATTAGCTGGGTGTGGTGGCATGTGTCTATAGACCCAGCTACTTGGGAAGCTGAGATGGGAACGTCACTTGAGCCCAGGAAGTTGAGACTGCAGGGAGCCATTATTATATCACTGCAGTGGATGAAGGCGAGACCCTGTCTCAAAAACAAACAAATAAACAAAAAACCAACAAAACAAAACCCCAAGACCCCCATAAAATCCTGATAATCAGAAGCCAGGCATGGTGGCACGTGCCTATAATCCCAGGTACTCAGGAGGTCTAGAGGGGAGGATTGCTTGAGCCCAATAGTTTGAGGACAGCCTGGGCAACATAGCAAGACCTTGCCTCATTAAAAAAAAATAATAAAAATAAAGCAAAATCCTGTTAATCAACAGTGTTTGATAAAATAGGCTTAAACAGGATAAGGTGCCTTCTTGCCACCTGTGGACTAAGGAATGTCTCTGGGTTCTCTGATCAGGTGGAGACAGGGAGGAGATGAAGAAGGAAGAACAGAGAGGAAAACAGGAAAATGTTAAGAGGCAGGGAGAGGTTATGTGGGGAGATGCAAGGCAGCTGCTGGCCCTTACAGTCTCTTGTATGGAGGAGACAGGGTGCCCTCCTCAGGCAGATGCAGCCTCTTGCCAAAAGAAATGGCATGGTGGACACAGCTTAGGGTGGATTTCAGTTTCCCCCACCTTCTCCCTGGAACATCCTTATTTGTGCAGGGAACCGTCTGTCTAACCATATACAGAGGCCCTGGGAGACACTGGACTCCGGCACAGAGAAAGGCACAGGATTGCTTCTCTGTTGTTCCTGTAAATGAAGCAAATTTATTATCTTACAGTTCTTGAGGTCAAAATGGGTCTCGCTGGATGAAAACCAAGGTTTTAACTGTGTTCCTTAAATGGGCTGCATTCCTATCTGAAGGCTCGAGGGTTTCTTACCTTTCTATCTTCTTGAGGCTGCCCACATTCCTCCACTAATGGTCCCTTCCTCCATCTTCAAGGCCAACAATGTTGAGCTGAGGCCTCACATTGCCACCTCTCTGATTCTACCTTCAGATCCTGCCTTTCACTTTTAAGGATCCTTTCAATTGCACTGGGCCCACTTGGATCACCCAGGATACTCTCCCTATTTTAAAGTCAGGTGATTAACAACCTTAATTCCATCTGCAACTTTAATTTCCTTTTGCCATGTAACCGAATATATTCACTAATTCTGGGGATTAGGATGCTTTCTGGGGAGATAGGGACTTAGGCTGAAAACAGACAGAAGTCTGTGGAAAAACATCCTTCACCAAAAAATAAATGTCAAGAGCCAAAAAGCTTCCAGGAGGGTCACAGAAAACTGGACGCTCTGAAACTAGATTATTTAACAAATATAGAATCTTACCTTGGTAGACTAGTCCCTGGGTGACAAGCATGCTTACAAGAGAAAAAGGCAGAGCTGTAAAGCAAAAATGTCCTTCAATATTGGTATTTCAAAAATTGGCACCTCACTGAGAAGTTAGGGAGAATTATTCTGAGTTTTTTCTCTTACCTTCTTTGGCAGTGAATTTTTGTTCATTTGTTATTTTACTTATTCAACAAATATTTATTAAGTGCAGTATGGAGAATTTTCTTGGAATCTTCTCCAGTCACTTACCCTGAGGCACAGCATTAATTTGAACCCTATTCTACTTCATGTCTAACATCCACTTGTACTGAATGCCATCATGCACAAGATTCTAAGCACTACATATAATAAAGGCATCTTAGGGTATATGTACATTTACCTGTTGAATTTGGGAGTTGCCTTTAGCTATGTGTGTATTTTGAAATTTTCAATCCTACACAAATGTTAAAAAGCAATATAATAAACTCCTACATACCTTTCATCTAGATTCATTAATTGTGAACATTTTGCCAAGTTTGCTTTATCTAATTTTTCCTTTTTTGTCTGAGCCATTTGAGATTTGCAAACATTATGACTCTGTCACTAAATACTTCAGCAGGTGTCTTCTAAAAACTAGAATGTTTCCCTACGTAATTACACCACCATTAGCATGGTCAAAACATTTATACTTCTTGAACACTCGTACTCAAGAAAAATTATATTAACTTATACACAATCGTTATTCAAATCTCTCCAACTGGCCCAATAGCTGTGGGCTTTTTCCAACTCAGAAATTCAGGGATCATACATTACACATATTCTCCTATTTGATTTAGTCTAGGACAGTTCCTTGTCTTTCTTTTTCTTTTTCATGACATTTTGTCTTACAATTTGTATTTGCCTGAAGACCCAAATTAAAGATCACAAGATGACTATGTTCATGTTAAACATGTGTAATGTTTAGCTATAATTTTAAAACAGAAAATTTAGTCTGGGAAAGGCAGTTTCTAGTTCTGTCCATCAATATGTGTCAAATAACTTCTCTCAAAAGCAGAGAGTAGTGATAAACATGTAGCTCTTTCTAGTTCAACCAAGACAGATCAAATAGCAACCAATTTTTCCACTCATAGCTACCCTATAGTGGGCAAATGGGTCATACTGAAGTGTTAGTCTACTAGGGCCCAATTAAATTTTCTGACAACTCATAGGTTGTAAGAAAACACATGAATTTCTAGAAGCACAGTCAGTAATCCTATAATGTATAATGAATATCAGCTTCTAGTGTTATTTCCCAAACAGGTGATACTAAATTTGAATGACTTAAGAAATCAAAATGAGTATTTCAAAGTATACATTATCCACACATCAGCAATGTTGCAAAATATCAAGACTGTATCTACAGGTTCTACTATGCCATTTTCAAATACTGAATTACACATTTTTTTAATTGGAAGAGACCTTAATGCACAGCCTGATTGTCTTATGTGAGGCAGGCTCAGAAAGAGGAAGTGACTCAGCTGAAAATGTTATTTCAGAGACAGTGTAAGAGAAGTATTAATGGAACGTGGCCATTTTTCATTCATTTGAGAAATATCGATTAGGTATTTCTATGAACAGGGCACTGTGCTAGGCTATAGAATGAAGGTCCAGATGAACTTGACATTATTTCTGAACCCTGTGAAACTTAGAGTCCAGCAGAATGTAGGAAGGTCTACTCTTTGGGAATCAACAAAATCTAAATAATTGTCTTGGTACACATTCTTGGTCACATATTCTTGGTAAAGGGAAGAATTACGTGTGCATCATTTTTTGCTAAGTGAGGTAAAGTGCTCCTTAATCAGATATTATCTCTGCCTTAAAAAAGGTCTGAACTTGGATTTAAACTCTAAACATCCCTGAATATCAGAGTTCATCAGATATTTATGCAAAGTCTCTGCTCAAACGTGAGTCATTACCACAATTCTAATATGAATATTTAGGCAGTTTACTGCTGCAAATACAATGTTAAGTACAATTACCTCTCTTCCAGAAACTTTCTTCCTGACATTCTCGCATAATCTTTGAGATCTCTGCTCTGTGGATGTGCAGTTTTGATTTTGGACAAAACAACAGGCTCTGTAAGGAAAGTTATATGGTGAGCTAACTGAGATCATCCGAAAATCACCCATTTGTTTTCTCCAGAAGTGAACAGGGAGGTCTCTTCACTTGTAACACAATGTGTGTTCTGTACCGGAGGCAGCCCAAAGCAATGATAAATTTCCAAGAGTGCTTTCTCACTGGGAACACTGATGGACTTAGACAGCAGAAGAATTCTAGTTGGAGAGTGGGAGTGATTCACTGGCGCAGGCAGCAAATTTGTGGTCAGGTTGAATCCCTGCTGAGGCCACATTTCCTTCCCTACCTCCATGCCTCTATGTGGTTTACTGTACCTAGAATGCTGTTCACTCTCGCCACCTGACTGGTCTTAACACCCAGCTGAACATTGTCTCCTGGGTGAGGAAAGAGATTTTCCCTATAGCACACAGTATTTAGACATCGAGCATCACACTCAGAGAACCTATGTACACGAACTTCTGTATGCATTTTTAAACTGTGGACTGCTTTTTATTATTTGACATAGTTTACTTTCAGTCTGGAGGCTTTTTTTTTACACATTTATAAATGGTGTGCACATAATTTATGGTGCAACTATTGACATGATTGACATAACTATTTTTATTAGTTCTGTAGTATTTTTTGGAATTTATTTATTAAAAATTTTTAAAATATTTTAATTGCTGTGGGTACATAGTAGGTTCTGCAGTGGTTTTTTTGTTTGTTTTTTGGACAGGGTCTCATTTGTCACCTGGGCTGGAGTGCAAGGGTGTGATCTTGGCTCACTGCAGACTCTACCTCCCAGGTTCAAGCAATCCTCTTGTCTCAGTTCCCCTAGTAGCTAGGACTATAGCGACAATGGGGTTTTGCCATGTTGCCCAGGCTGGTCTCGAACTCCTGAGCTCAAGCAATCTGCCCTCATCAGCCTCCCAAAGTGTTAGGATTACAAGCCTAAGCCACTGCGCCCAGACTTGCAGTGTTTTTTCAATCAAGTTCATATGCTATCATCTAGACCAACTCCCATCTTTTACCATTCCTTTCGCTTTGTAGGTACATAGCTTTAATCACTCGCTCTTGTCCACATTCTCCACACCTTCCCCTCTGCCCATCACAACCATTCTGAGTGTTTAATGTTTTATTTCTATCCATTCTTGCAAAATGTTCATTATTTTGGGTGAATATATCTTTTTAATGTAAATAGCACTGTTTTATATATTTTATTCTTAAAACATTCTCAACTCAGCTCTTTGCTTTTAAGGTCCACCCATGTTGCTGTATTCATCTAGTCTGCTGCTTCTAACTGCTACATAACTGTGCACAATGCCTCCAAGTTCCCACCACCTCATGCTCCTCTATGGACCCATGAGAGAACATTTTTCAGACATGAATCTAGAAGTAAAGCTCAGGGTGTGCATATTCTCACTGTGACAGAGTCTTGCTGACCACTCTCTTCAATGACTGCAGTCTCCACTCCTACCTGTAGGGCCTGAACATTCCCTTATGGCTACGTAGCCTGTGTAAGAGCTAGGTATGGGTAAAGAAGATTCCAAGCAAGTTAAAGAAAGAATTTTCTAACACTTGGAATTATCCAGTTTTCTAAGCTGATAGGTATAAAGTAATATTTATTATCTTGTTTGTACTTCTTTGATAATGAATGTGTTTGACTATCTCTACATATTTTTCAGCTACACTGCCCTTCTCCTCTGGTTGTCAGGCAATTCCTGTAATTGCCTGGGTTGTAATCTTTTCTTATATATTGGCTCATTAATTTTTTTTGTGGAAAAATACATACATATATAACATTTATATATGTTATAACATATTGTAACATTTGCCGTTTTGACCATTTTATTTTTATTTTTATTTTTTTTAGAGACAGGGTCTTGCTCTGTCACCCAGACTGGAGTATAGTGGTGCCATCATAGCTCACTGCAGCCTCGAACTCCTGGGCTCAAGTTAACCTCCCACTTCAGCCTCCTGAGTAGCTGGGACTATGGGTGCACACCATCATGCCTGGCTAATTAAAAAAAACGTTTTTTAAATAGGTTAGGGGTTCTCACTATGTTTCTCAGGCTGGTCTTGAACTCCTGGCCTCAAGTGATTGTGATTGTCCCGCTTTGGCTTCCCAAAGTGCTGGGGTTATAGGTATGAGTCACCATGCCTAGCCCCATTAATTTTTTTTTTTTTTAATTTAACTTGTTCCTTACTATAGAAGTCACACTTGTGTTTCCTTGTTTGTGAATTATTTATGTGGGTTATTTGCCATTCATCTCCAGGGTTTTAGTGTTTTTCTGGTTGAGGTGCAGCTCCTTAACTCTTGAAGCGTACTTTGATTGTGCTGATCTTGCCACTGTCTTTTTAGACTCTTTCTGTGAAATAGATGTCAATATACAAGATGGTCACCATTTCTTGAGCACTTTGTATGTGCCTGGTCCTGTGCCAAGCACTTTACATGCATGATGTCAATGAAAGGGGTGGAGAAACCCTCTGGCACCAGTGTCTGTGGAGCTCTACAAGCAGCCCAAGTGGGCAACCTCCCTCTTCTCTCCCTGCAATTCCCCAAGGCACAGTGCAAAGATGCTGTAAGTCACAGGGTGAGTCACAGCAGCAGGAGAAGGAGTTGCTCTCAGTCTCTACCTACCTTCCTTCCTCAGCACAGGCATGCCTCCAGATGCCCAGGGTGAATATTTGCTCTTGCTCTTGGCAGTGCCTGGGGCAGAAATAAGGACTGCCTCCCCTAAATAAACAAATGCACACACCCTGGCTATCACAATTGCTTCCAGTCCTGCAGTCAACCTGTAATCCCAGGCTTTGGGAGGCTGAGGCGGCCAGGTCACTTGAGGTCAGGAGTTCAAGACCAGCCTGGCCAACATGGTGAAACTTCATCTCTACTAAAAATACAACAATTAGCTGGGCATGGTGACAGGTGCCTGTAATCCCAGCTACTCGGGAGGCTGAGATAGGAGATTCGCTTGAACCCGGGAGGTGGAGGTTGCAGTGAGCCAAGATTGTGCCACAGCACTCCAGCCTGGATGACAGAGTGAGACTCCATCTCAAGACAAAAACAAAAACAAAAACAAAAACAAAAACAAAAGGAGCTCTGGTTATCATTTTCTGTATAGCCATAAATGTTTGATGACTCCTCATTTCACAGAGGCAACTCAGGTGTCCAAATAATTCTCCTTGTGACTTTCTATCATTTTCCTGTTTGCCTCGCCTAAACTTTGCTCCTTGAAAATTACTGCCTCCATACACTATTTTTAGCTTGAACATGAATGTCATTGACCCATCAAATGCTTTCTCTTTTCTTCATTGACGTATTCCTGAAATACACAGTATCCATTCCTAACAAATTGAAAAATTATTTCCATGTTAACACTTTGGTTCTCAATCTGCTAGCTAATTAGTAATTAAGGACTCTGCCACCCTGAACAGGAACACCTGTCAGCAGCATAGGATTAGCGTGATTACTCACAGTAATAAAAATGTGAAAAATAAGCAAAATATCACCTGTAATCCCGGCACTTTGGGAGGCTGAGGTGGGAGGATTATTTGAGCTCAGGAGTTTGAGACCAGCCTGGGCAATATAATGGAGCCTCCATCTCTAAAAAATAAATGAATGAATAAATATAAATAAATAAGCAACATATATAATTCTGTTAGAGTCTATTAAGAGTTTTGCTCTGCTCTCAGAAACCTCTTCAGTTACTGACAGTTCATCTAAGAGTTAGTAAGGCTGGATTCCAAACAGGAAAGAGTATAGAAAGGATTTTGTAAATAAAATTTTAAATTTTAAATGTCAGCTTCTTTTCAAAGCAGCTGAAAACACACTTTCCTTCCCCATCCTGTTTTCCCTGAGCCCATCCAACAAAGTGCCAGACTGAAAAAAATAAGATGACTGGTTAAAGATGAAATTTAATAAAAATTCTCTATGATATATATTTTTTCAGATGGCAGGTCCTGCAATTAAAAGTATACCTGACCAGGCATGGTGGCTCACGCCTGTAATCCCAGCACTTTGGCAGGCCTAGATGGAGGATTAATTGAGGCCAGGTATTTGAGACCAGCCTGGGCAATACAGTGAGACCTCATGTCTAACCACAAAAAAAATTAGCCAGGCATGGGGGCCTGTACCACTCATCCCAGTTAAGTGAGAAGCTCAAGTAGGAGGATCATTTAATCCAGCAGTTCGAGACTGCAGTGAGCCATGATTGCTCTCAAGTCTAGGTGACAGTGTGAGATCGTGTCTCAATCAATGAATTGATCAATAAAGATAAAAGTATACCTGCTTGCTTGGTGGTGGCAAATGGGTATCTTTATCTTGGTTTCCACGAGTAGACACTGAAGCCATGATGACTTTGTATTTGCTCTCCTTCCAGTTGTTTATCCTCTGCTTACTCCTTGACCCAGTGCCTAAGGAACCTAGAAGAGAATCACTATGCCATGACTGAATGTTTGTATCAAGCTTAAAAGCATCCTGAGGATCCACTGGAGTTATCTGGAAAACTCGTTTTTCCTTTTGTCATTAGTCCATCTGCAAACTCAGTTTCTAGTGCTCCTCTTCCACCAGCACACACACATTCACTCACTAATGGGGACAGATCAGATTTAGAATAGAGTGAAATACCACACTGTGCACTGAGTGTCGATTATGTGCCAGGCCAGGGGATATGAAGAAGGATAAGACAAGATCACCACTGAAGGAATTCACAGTCCAAAAGGGGAGATAGACAAGTCAACAGTTACACAACATGAAAAGGGTTCCCTCGAGGTGTGCACAGGATGCTAGGGAAGAAAAAAAAGCAGGGTTCATTCCATCTAGTCAGGTCACAAAAGGAACTAGGACTCCTAAGCTTTCAGGAGGATCTGTGGAGGGTAGATGGACTCTGGGGCAGGAGGACGAGGTTGGAAGGTGGTGCACTAGTGCAGGCAAGGAGTTACAGGAACCTGAACAAAGACCTTGGTGGGAATTTAGCGTCTTTGATAGAGATGCTAAATTTGGGTTTGGAAATGTTGGATTTGGGTGCCTGTGGGGGAAAACAGTGGAATTAGCCACTGTTAATATACGACAATTTGGGTCTGGAGTTCCAGAACAGGGGTAGGCTTGAGAAATGAAGTTGGGAGCTGCCATCATAGAGATGAAAGTTAAAGCAGGGAACTTGAACAAGTGTGTCTAAAAACAGTATTGGAGAATATGAACATTGAGCCCAAGGGAATATTGAAAAGAGAAGAAAGAAATATTAAAAAAAAAAAAAAAAAAGCAGGCCAAGGAAATGACTGAGAAGGAATAGCTGATATAGAGGGGAGGGAATTTCTGAAGGAGGCAGTGAATCATCAACATCATTACATGGCTTAGAAAAGTGGACCCTGGATCTGGCAATTATGGACATAATCCAGGTGGACTTTGAGCCTCCTCCTGCCCCCGGTGGCCACTGCATTCTGCAGCCCTGAACTCCACCACTACCTCTGCTTTTCTTCTGCAAAATGAACCTCTTATACACAATTCTGTTTCCTACATCAGTTACTAAACTTCCAGGCATTTGAGCCAAGGGGACCCGTGCTCACACCAAGTTTCATCGCAGGTGCCTAATGTGATTACAGGGGCACCACAGTGCCCTGCATGGGAAAGTACTGGGGTCAGAGAGACCAGAGTTCAAATCGCGACTCTCTCCCCCTGCCATCCCTGTGCTTTGGTGCAAATGACTTAATCCGTCTGTGCCTCAGCTTTCTCCACTGTTAAGTGGGCATAATGGACCAACAATGGTGAGGGGCCGTTGCAGGAATGAAGATGAGGATGAGGATGAGGGATGCTCCATAAAGCCCCCCGCTCAGCACCCAGCAGGCTGAGTCTGAACGCACGAAGGGGCGGCTGTCAGAGTGGCCCTGCACACCTTCCATTTCCTGAGCATTCCCAGGAAGTCTTTGCTGACCAGGCCAAATTAGATTATCTTTGCTTAGCCATTAGGCCGCTGCCCTATATTGGGAGGCAAAGATACCTCTCAGCTTCGGTGGCCAGGTCCCCTGGCACCCACTTAGTCCTCAGTCTACACCTAAAAGCAAGCCTTCTGAGGGTCTTGCCTTGCAGGTGTAGCTCCGACCCCCCACGCCGGGGTGGTCCGGGGACCCTCTGTTTCTTCAGTGGTGGGGAAGGGACCCGTGAGTTCGTGGGTTCGTGGGTGCTGACCGGCGGACGTGCGGAGAAAAGAGCGCCGCAGCATGGGGGGCGGGGGTGCTTCTTAGTGGAGTGGGGCGCCTGCCCGGCTGGACGGCGGGCGGGCGACACCGCACTTTCTGGTCCAGTCGGGGGAGCCGGGAGTCAGCCTACTGGAGACCGCCGCCATCCCTGGCCAGAAGCAGCCAGCGCCACCCCCACGCTCTCCAGCCCCTAGCCCCCGCCGGGGTCGCCAGGGTCCGAGCAAAGGGGGAGTGGGGGGCGGCCAACGTTGCGCCGCGCCGCCTTCAAAGGACTGCCCTGCGGAGCTGCGTTCCCCCAAGGCCACTCCCTCCCGCCGTTAACACCCCCCGGGGCGGGGGCTCACCTGTGTGGTCAGGGTCGCCTCCGAGGCCGAGTCCCTCGCTGCCGCCGAGCCCTGCAGGCCTCGCTCCTCCGCGACTGCACGGCCGGCCAGCTCCAGCCTCCCGAGTACCCCACCTGTCTCCCCGGCTTCCTCCCCGTCCTTTGTGTTTTCTTCTTTTGCTCCGCCTCCTCGCCTGCCCGCTAAGCACTTAAGCTGGTGAAGTCACCCTACTGCCACCTGGCAGTCACTTTCGCTGTTGGTGGCAACCCAGGCTGGAACCTAGCTCTGGCTGGAATCCCCGCCCCGTCCTTAAGGCTTGTCCCGACACCAAGTAGGTTATAGTTCCTTTGTGCCTTCCAAATGACTCCCTTCCTGCAGCAATCACAGCAGCAACAGCCGTGTATTGCGCCCCCGCCCTGGGCCGGCGTGGGCATCACCTTTGCACTCCTTTCTGCAGCCCTGTGGGGCGCCCACTGTGACCTGCACTTCACAGACGGGTCATCTGAGTCGTGCAGGCCACTAAGGGAGCCCGGAGTCAACCCCAGGCCTGCTTGGCTCCCAGGCCTTCTCTTTCCATTGCTCTTTGTGGGTTCCCTCCTGCCTCCTGTCCCTCCCCAACTCTGACTTGTGGAGGGAAGCCGTTGACATGTGGGGGTACCTTTAATACCGACATTACTTGTTACCAGAGAGGGGTCCCGATCCAGACGCCAAGCGAGGGTTCTTGGACTTCGCGCAAGAAAGAATCTGGGGTGAGTCCCTAAAGTGAGAGCAAGTTTATTAAGGAAGTAAAGAAACAGGCCGGGGACGGTGGCTCACCCCCATAATCCCAACACTTTGGGAGGGAAAGGCAGGCAGATCACATGAGCTCAGGAGTTCAGACCAGCCTGGTCAACATGTTGAAACGCCCTCTCTACTAAAAATACCAAAAGTTAGCCAGGCGTGGTGAGGTACGCCTGTAATCCCAGCTACTCGGGAGGCTGAGGCAGGAGAATCGCTTGAACCCGGGAGGCGGAGGTTGCAGTGAGCCGAGATTGCGCCATTGCACTTCAGCCTGCGTGACAAAGCCAGACTCTGTCTCAAAAAAAAATCCCAAAAAACAAAAAACAAGAACAACAACAGAAAAGAATGGCTACTCTATTGGCAGAGCAGCTGTGTGGGCTGCTCAGCTGATTATACTTGTAGTTATTTCTTGATTGTATGCTAAACAAGTGGTGGATTATTCATGAGTTTTCCAGGAAAGGGGTGGTCAATTCCCAGAACTGAGGGTTTCTTCACTTTTTAGACCATATAGGGTAACTTTCTGACGTTGCCATGGCATTTGGCATTTGTAAACTGTCACGGCCCTGGTGGGAGTGTCTTTTATCATGCTATTGCATTAAAATTAGCATTTAATGAGTAATGAGGATGACCAGAGGTCACTTTCATGACTATCTAGATTTTGGTGGGTTTTGGTTGGCCTCTTTACTGAGCCCTATTTCATCAGCAGTCTTCGTGACCTGTACCTTGTGCCAACTTCTATCTCATCCTGTGACTAAGAATGCCAAACCACCTGGGAAGGCAGCCCAGTAGGTTTCAGCCTTATTTTACTCAGTCCCTGTTCAAGATGGAGTGGCTCTGGTTCAAATACCTTTGGACACAGTTACGGGAGCCGTGGCTGACAATGTTTTCTGGCCTGAGCTGCCAGGACTGACTGCGTGTGTTGACTGGTAGAGAGGCTGTGGACCTCCACTGAAGGCCCACTTCATTTCTCACTCTTTCCTATTGAACAAATTGGTCCTTGTACCTGTGGCCCCTTCCTCCTCATGCCTCCAGGATCCACACCTCCAACTTGTTGTTCCTCACATTCACACAGCTCTTTTCCACCTGAGTCCCTCCTCTGCCTGCAGCCTCTCCCAATCCATCCTGTCCTGGCTTTTTCCTACTCCTGATTTTTGACTGTTCCTCAGGAAAATCTTCCTTGACACCAGCCTAAGGCAGGCCTTTCTTCTTTTTCATAGCACAGGACACTATTGTTTTCCTTCATAGCACTTATCACAACTCATTATGTACTTATTAGTGTGTTCATTTTTATAAAGCCTATTTTTCCTGCTTCAGTGTAATCTTCATGAGGTTCAGAACAAGATGGTGTCAGTTTTGTTCACCGTTGTGTAGCATCTTGGATATAGAATGGGCTCAATAAATAATTGTTGAATGAATGAATAAGTGAGCCTGGGTTCAATGACTGTCAAGATACTGTTGTTTTAGAGGGTTCATTTCCCTAGCAGATCCTCCAGACCACATTCCTCCATGGATTCACTGGTTCTTCTCCCCACCAAAGTGTGTCTTATTTTGTTTTCACTCCTTTTTTCACCTCCAAATTAAAGGGAATATAATTCTATTGCTAATTCCACATTGTATTACCAGAAATCAGAAAAAATCAACTGGTCTGAACAGAACAGCTTTCTAATAGGTTTTGTGATTCAAATGAACAGCCCTCCATTACACTGAAGTCAACCTTCTAACAAATACCCTAAGTGGCATTTGTCCTTTAACATCTTGCTATGGTATAGTCCAGCCCCCTACCCTCATCTCTACTTTCCACCAAAGAGGCCGTTAACTACCTTAAATAGCAAAAAGTCATCATATGTAATGTGCATAGGTTATGACCAATTGGTATTTGTTGGGCAAATCTCATGTGTCCATGTATTGTTCTAGTACTTTCAAAGATAATAGAAAAAGAGATGAGTCTTTTTCACAGAGAAAGGATTTATCACTTCCCAAAGAATTATAATAAATATACGTTGCCGTAGAAGTCTATGACCCTCAACAGTCTTTCTTTTTTTTTTTTATTATACTTTAAGTTCTAGGGTACATGTGGATAATGTGCAGGTTTGTTACATATGTATACCTGTGCCATGTTGGTGTGCTGCACCCATCAACTCGTCAGCACCCATCAACTC